CCCTCCTGGACCTGCTCCCAGTGGGTCGTGTCCAGGAGACATCTTAATCAGTCTGAACCTCCTCTGCTGACTCCTCCACTCTGAGCTCCGTCAGGTGACGGTGCTCCTCCGCTCCTCTCTCAGGCTGAGGCCGACCCCCTTACAGCTGCTGATCCCAGATCTGGTTCTGGTCCAAACCTCAAGAACTCACAGAGGTGCTGAAAGTTTGTGAACTCTTTATAAGTTTCTGCATCAACGTGAACTTAAACATCTTCAGGTTTCAGGAGATGAAGAGAACCAGTTCAACCAGAGACCAAATATTAAACTGGTTGAATTAATTCCTTTATTGATTGAGGACAGTGATCAATGTTCAGCATCTGACAGAGGTTAGAGTGTGTGAACATCTGCTTCCAGCACCAGGTGCGACCCCCCAGTAACTGTTGGTCAGTCCTGCTCACCTTGGAGTCCATTCCTCCGTGCAGAACATCTTCATCTCTGATGTTGGTGGTTTCTTCACATGAGCTGCAGCTTCAGGTCCTTCCACAGCATCTGCTGGATGAAGGTCAGGACTTTGACTTGGTCCTTCCACAACATGAACTTCATTCTTCTTGAACATTCTTTGGTAGAACATCTCGTGTGCTGAGGATCGTTGTGTTGCTGCAGGACCCACCTTCTCTTAGATTCAGCTCATGGACAGATGTTCTGACATGTTCCTTCAGAATTCTCTGATATAATTCAGAATTCATTGTTCCATCAATGATGGCAAGAAGTCCAGGCCCAGACCCAAACCATGATACTACCACCACCATGTTCCACAGATGGGATCAGGTTCTTCTGCAGGAATCCTCTTGTCCTTTCTCTAAACAGAACTCTCTTCATTTCAACCACAAAGTTCTTCTTCGTCTCATGGTCCACAGAACGTTCTTCCAACGGTCTTCTGGCTCGTCCACGTGATCTTTATCAAACTGCAGACGAGCAGCATGTTCCTGTTGGAGAGCAGTGGTTTCTCCTTCAACCTGCCATGACCCGTTGTTGTTCAGAGTCTCCTGGTGGACTCATGAACATCAACATCAGTCAATGTGATCCCAGAGGTTCACATACTTTTACCACTAAAATGTAATCTTGGATCATTTTCCTCAATAAATAAATGACCAAGTATAATATTTTTGTCTA